TCAGCTTTTTGCACACTCGCAAACTTGCTTTTGATAAAACACTCTTAACGACTTCATTTGGGAAAGTGAAAGGACAACGATAAGCGCGTTAGAACATATTTAAAGTCTGTAACTTTCGTGATATGCATGTGAGTGATCTGAAAGTGCAACTTTGACGTACGCGTCCTGCATGGAGCACTTAGGCATCACGAAGACGGCTCCGTCGTGTGATCTGTCCGGTAGCAAACGGCCCGGAAGTGAAGGGTGGCGCAACGATCTTAAAAAAGATTTGTATCGATGTCAGCGCGCGTTAATGCTTCAAGAGCAAGGCGCCTAGCCGAGCCGGTACTACCGTGCGCCATGAATCATAGCGTTTTAGCTCATACTGGCCGCAATAGTACCCCTACGAAAAAATACACCGTTTTGCAAAGGTTGTGTATTTCGTCACTGAAATTTTAAACTGCCACTAAATGTTGTACACATGATCGAAACTACTAAGATGTTCGTCGGCAGGTAAAGCTAGACAACACACAATTTAGTAACACCTGGTAAGAGGGCTATGTTGTAGTGGACATCGGTCTGTGCCTGGGAGAAATCTGAGTCAAGAACAAGAGCTCCCTTCTAAGGTTACTTAATTATATGTGCAGCTTAGACCAATTATAGCAGTAAATAGTGTTTAATACTAATTTTGCCCCTGCACTTTAAGTTTAGCTGTTTTTATCGTTTTCCTTGATTCCTTAGCGTTTTTTTTTGAGTTGGCAACACTGAAGGAAACGTCCAATCAACGAAGTATTGACGGTTGCCCCCTACCTCAGTACCCACACCACGTCACCTCTTGATAAGCGAGGTTAAGATCTAAAACTCACGATTTGAAATGAAGCAATTGATGAGTCACGTACTATCGTGGCCGATATGGGCTCTAAATATATTTATGTTTCTCTCGCGTACCTGACAATTTTCGAAAAAGGTTTGGTTCATATTAAAGCTGCAATGCACAGGTTGAGTTTTATTATATTAACTCTATTTCAGATCCACAATTATTGAATCTTTTGGAAACGCCAAACGTGACAAAAAGTAAAAACAAACGTTGCTGCCTATTTTTTTCGGCTGGTACAAGATATAATCTTTAAGAACCACATCTAGCGTCCCAGCCTTTCGGAAAAACACACTTTGCGGAGGGCAAGTTCATCTGCTTCTTGCGCAGGGGGTGGCGGTGACGTCAGAACGCCGAGCCCTGATTGGCTGATCGCGACCCCCTATCTGAGCGTCGTCTGCTCCTTTGCAACGTCGTCTGCTCGCAACGTCGTCTGCGTCTGTCTTACCTTTCCTGCGACTTTCGGAAGTGCAGAGGCCAGATTCACGAAACGATCTTATGCCAAAAATGTGCGTAAGACAAAACGTGAGAACAAATTCGTATTCACGAAACGAAATTATCGTAAGTTTTGCGCAGGTTACGACGGAATCCTACGACAGCTCCGAAGCTGTCTTACGCACTTCTTACGATCAAGTCAGCACGGCCGACAGCGTCGCTCAGTTACTTGGTCGCGACGACCAACGGACGTTTATTTTTGTACGTGCTCTTCTCACGCGTCCCGACTATAAGCAGCAAGAAAAAAAGTAAAAAGTACTTGAAATAGACCACAACGAACAAGAACGCTAGATCCACAAACACCCGGGAAATTCTCCAACGGCCACGATTCCACTGACCCCGACCAAGCGAGCTCGGCAGATAGGCCTAGCAGGCACTCCGACTCGGCGCAGCGGTGCTCCGACGGTCCTTGGCCAATACCGTCTGCCCACGACCGGCTGGCGTGCTGAATGGAATATGTCCGCGCGACCCTTGTGAACCCTTCCCGTATTATACTTTGATCGCTGACCTCAATTTTAGATTAAGAGGTCAATCTCTTCCTCTTGTCATCTCCTTGTTTTCCGAAGCAGCGGTGACTCTCGCCGGTGAAAAAGTGGTGAATCTCCGACAGACGCAGGAAAGGTAAAGCAGCCATCGCTTTGACTAGCAGACGTAAAGCAGACGACGTTAACTGCGCCAACCCGCCGACGCCGTTAAAGTGTGAGGAGTCTCGCCGCGCACGAAAGAAGGGAAAAGTATTTGGGAGGGAACTTGCGGACGCTCACCCCCTCTCGGTTCTTAGCAAACAAACCCCGGCGCCTCGGGACACCTCGCCAGTCCTCTGACTTCCCTCCTTCATGCGCGTCTGCTAGTTGTTAGACAAAAACAACGTACCGCTCGAGTTATTTCGTCTGCCCTCTCTGAAAGGCGAAGTCGAGCTCGCTCTTAAAGACCTGCACTTCCGAAAGTCGCAGGAAAGGTAAGACATACGCAGACGACGTTGCAAAGGAGCAGACGACGCTGAGATAGGGGGTCGCGATCAGCCAATCAGGGCTCGGCGTTCTGACGTCACCGCTACTTCCTTTCTCATGCGCAGAAGACGAAAATGAGCCCACTTGCGAGGCGTATAAGACACGTATACCCTTTTGCCAACCAACTTACCACCCTAATTAAAGAGGATGCCAGCACTCAAAATCTAGCATGCTACTGCTTATTTGCCACAACCTGTCGTGAACGCATTCTACCTAGACATAACATAACCTGACCAAAACTAGACTTAACAAAGCCCAATCAAAGCTGATATAACCTGAACAAAGCCTAACCCAAGGCATCAAAGTAAACTAGTGTTCGTCAATCGGGGCCTTATGCTGGTTTTTTCTGCACATGTGCTCACCTATTTTTGGCACGAAGGTTCATTGTTACCAAGATGTTTGAGTTGAAGCAGTTACTAGTATATCAGCAAACGCTTCTCTGAAATGTCAATTCATTTTGAAAATAAAGCTTCAGCCTTGATGTGTTAGAGGGCCCTCTGTGCCGTTCGAACACATTCAGCCCATCAAACTCCTTAACCCTTCAAACCCTTTGAACCCTTCGAACCACATCAACTTTTCAGACCCCTCATCCTTTTACAGCCATTCAGCCTTTTAGAGCACCTCAGCCCTTCAACCCTTTGTACACCCAAGCAACTGTAAACCATAGGCAAAAAATGCAACTTAAACGTTATTGGAATTATATTTTAGACATTGAGTTGGACTTGCACGTTATAACTCAAACAGACGACAAGAAGTAACATGTAATTAAACCCGAGCGCAAGCGGCTGTAGACAGAAGCGATCTGACCAAATAGCGACAACCAAGTTCTTTGTCGCATAAGATATTTTACAGCGGCTACTGTTACGGGTTCGTCCCTCAGGTTTTTCGACGGCGTGAGCGTAAATTAATACAGTTACCCTGCTAAATTTAGTGAAAAAATTAATGCCACGTGATCCGTGCGCTAGTTCAGTTAACTTACTAAACTTGGCGGGAAAATTGATGTCACGTGAGCTGACGTCACCGGACCTACAGACGAATTTAGGTTGCGAGCTAAATTTAGCGAAAAAACTTGCGTCACGTCACTTATGCACCAATTCGATTTCCCCGTTAAATTTGGCAAAAAAAAACCTTTCAGCCTTTTTACTCTGTTGAAGAAGGAAGACCAGCGAAGCTGTACTATGGTGGGAAAGAAGTAATGGCCGGCCGCAAGTCGGCAAGCCAGAGTGGAAATGTTCGAAAGGTTGCCGCGATCTATGAGCGACGGCGGTAACTAGACAACTGGCAAACCGGTTGTCTGGTTGCCACCGTCGCTCATAGATGCCGGTATCTGTCCAGAGTTCTGTGTCACTAGGTCATTTAAGGACGGGCACAATCCTGTGGAAACTAGCCCTTTCAGCTACACTGTAAAATTGATGTCACGTAACCTGACGTCACGGGAGCTCAAGACAAACAAATTTAGGTGCATTCATCGAAAAGTGAGAGTATCGTTTTTTCCACTATCGCACTGCCTACACATGTGTACCGTTTTATCAAAATTTCTTTGAAATACCTAAGAGTCTTGTAGTGACTGCTTACTTGTAAGAACACCTTCATCCTCAATTAACTTCATAAAATGCGGAATATTTGCTGCAATATGTGTTTATAAATAAAAAAGCAATAATCCCAGAACGCGGTCTTGCGTGGCTACTGAATTTAGCGTAAAATACCGAGCAGGCTCCACCCAAAATTTTGAGATAATCAGAAACAATGGGCATGTGCATTTGTTAAGTCTGAATGAAGAAAGAGGCACAGCTTCTGCGGCGCTTCGCTACAGACTACTTCCAGACGCGAGAGTATTTCTTGTCTTATATGAATGCTATACGGCTTCTGTGGAGGTTGCCAACTTCTCCTCTTTTTTTCGTTTTTTTTTTTTTTGTTTGCGATGGTTTAGTTGATGTAGACCACGCATGTTTTGCTTTCTACCTCCAGCCAAACATCGCTCTTTCTCCTCCAGTGTCTTCCTGGCACGTTAAGCACGGTGATAACTCAGCGCGTGGCCACTTCTGTTGGGTCATCTCCTCTTCAGTTGGCTCTTCTTCTTGCTGGGGGCATTGTGAAGAAGGCGGCATATCCAGGGAACGCCTCGTCCCGGGACTCGCACATTTGCGCCGAGAGGAGGACGGAACGTGTACCTCACTCTTTCGAGGATGTTTTTCCGTTGTCCAACTGGGGTGTAGCAAGTGGGGTGACTTAATGAAATGCATTCACCAATCCAGAAAAGGCACTTGATGGGGTGCGCTTCACTGCCTTGCATCGGCGTGCTCGGAGAAGCAGCTGTCGCGCATCTCGGTTAGCGAGGTAGGCTCAGACGTCTGGGCTGAATGTTTGATTGTGAAATAATAATCTTAAAACTGAAAGGGTGACCGCCTTGACGGCATCAATCAATCGTGAAATAAGAGTGTCGATAATCTGACGCGGTAGCTTCAAATAGCGACTCTAGAAAACAGGTAAAATGTACAGCATTGTCCTAGCGTCTCACTGAGTTAATTTGTTTTGAGATGCCATTATTTTGCATAAAATATATAAATTGAGTTATATGCATAAAATGTATAAATTGAGTTATATATATGCCCATACACCTGAATGTGACCTTTTGACGTTGTATTGTGCAGGAAAACCACTGCATGCGGATCAAGATCCTCGGCGACTGCTACTACTGCGTGTCCGGGCTTCCGGTGTCCAGACCCAGCCACGCCTACAACTGCGTTCGAATGGGGCTCCAGATGATCGAGGCCATACGGTGAGGCCAGGAACTGTTTTCTACAGGAAAGTTGTCATACACTCAGCTGGGCAGTCAATTCGGAGACTGATCTCCTCTAAAGCTTGGCATAACTTGTGGCAATTTTTTAATAGAATTGCGTAAAAACTGACAAACAGGCGCCCATTCAGCGGATAACCCAAGTAAGGAAAATCGTTATTTGATAAGGTAACGCCTCTTACGGTAACTTTAGATTGCAAGTCGTAAACCCTCGGAATGGTAACAAAAATAAAATAAAACTAGGAGATAAAGAATTTGTTTCAACTAAGACTCTTAGAGAGAGCTCATGTATACCAAGCAAGGACATTGTGTGTAGTCCAAGAATTAAAACCTAATCTAACGGTCAGCAAAAATCTATTTATTAACGTATCTGCGGCGATTTATTACAAACGTGCGGCTAGGTGGTGTGAGCTTGGAGTGAAAATAATAAGGAATGATGTTACCTGGTTAAAAAGAAAAAACATGTTCCGGGTAATCCACGACAAACATTTCAAAAGATAGTGACATAACGGGGCTCGCTGACTAGTATGCGCGGCCGACAGATGGCGCAACATGAAACACGAGATAATGAGGCTGCCCGACCAATCTTCTCCGCACAAAAACTTAACGCCCCTGAGAAATTTAAGGGTTGTCTTGTTATTCAGATTATTTAAATAAAAGTTATCACATCTTGAAAATTGCATTTAACAGAGAGGCACCCGCCCTTAAGGAAAAGTTGTAAAAATTTCGGAGTGCGCCCTTTACGCTTCCGACATCTGCCAGCAGCGTTTCAAGGACGGCACGGACCGTCTGCGAATTGTCGTAGCAAATTTTGCAGCACAGATTCTTCTGTTTCCTTTTTTTTCGGACTAGGTAAGATCATCCGTACTTATTTTTACTGCAATCTTCCGCCACCTAGCATTCCCTCTGTATTAAACTGCAGCGATAGCCATTTCCGGTCGAGGTGCACGACGTAGTGCGTATAGCTTTACTCTTAATGTAAAGCGGAATGTCAGTTTGCGACACCCGCCCCCTCCGATCACGGCCCAACCGGCGGCATCAATGCCGGACAGCTTACGTCATCTCATCTTGTTGTTACACCACTGATACGCGAACACACGGTCACATTGGCGACAATTCCAGTCTTCTGTTCACAACGCAAATCACTACCATCGTTATGTTGCTGCTATGTTGCTGACACGCAGAAATGCAGAACCACTTTGACTGCCGGTTGGCACTCGGCATCAGAAAACAGAACTGAAGTGAGCACAGAAGGCACCCAGGCACCTGGCAGCGAAACCCGCCTGCCTTGGGCGGAGTTTCCGCGATTTCCATAACGTAGTCAACATTGACACATTGTTCCGTGTGGGTTCCGCAATCCGCCGACGGTCATCTTAGCCCAGTGTACTTTGCGCTGCTGGCACCGTTCCGGAACTTCGCTGTTCCCCAATAAAGATGATTTTTTACTTTCTATTGAAAACGTGTTGACTTCTTGTCGACTTTTATTACTTTCTTTTGACTTTGACTTTCAGTTGACATGATCAACAGAAAGTTTGTTTACTTTGTGCTGAAACTTTTCTGATGATTTTCTTCAGTCTGAGTCAAAAGGAAAGCTGTTGACTTTCTATTAACTTTTGTTAATTTTTTCTGCTGACTTCTGTTGACAGTGTCATCAGAATGACTGCAGACGTTCTGTTTACTTCGTGTTGAAAATGTTCAGGCGGCTCTCTGTAGCCTGTGTCAATTGAAAAGCTACAGACTTTCTGTTGATTTTTTATTGAACATTGTACACCTCGACTGTAGATATCAAAAATCACTAAGTTTCTCAATAGTCTCTGACAAGGTGAGAAAGGTAGGAAACATCTTCAGTTGTTCAACCTCCAGCGCTAGCCTACTACCCTTGACAACGCTTCGGCGTTCGTGCACCTCGATCGCGCACGTGCAGTCAAAACACGACGCAAGGCATGGGGCGCGTGCTGGATGCCAGGCATTCGGAAGACACGCACTGCCGTTCTCACTTTTAAGTGACTTTAGTGACTTTAACGGCCATATTAAATAGCCAACTAGTAAAGAAAAGCAAAATAACTATTTCAAAGTGGAGAAATTGCCTTGACTTGCTTCATCCTGACTGGTGCTATACAGAGAAGCGATAACATTTCTCCTAGGTGCCGTTTTTGTAGATGTTGTTTTAGCGACTGGCGCCGAATTATTATTTCTTGTATCAATGTTTTTTAGTAAGAGGTATTATCCACGAACTTCGGAACACTGTTTTCCTTTTGACAGACTCCTGAGGAGAAGATGGAATACTTGGAACCTTAATAAGGGCTGAGGTGGTCACCAGCTAAATGATTACCTTCAATATGTAGGCTATATAAGGCTCTGGAGCAGTCAACGGAACTCTGATGAAGGTGTTCAGTGCTTCATGGTGTTTGTGTTTGTATTCGTTTCTAATGTGCGTTTGTGGGATGTATGTAGTAGTGGCTTTAGATACCACAAAAACACCATTTACTAAGAAAAATAAATAATTCCCGTTTCTTTACGTTATTTGGCTGCAGTCGATTTGGAGCAGAGTGGATAGAAATAGTAAGGGGGGGGGGGGGGGGGGGGGGCTTCCAAAACTTGGTTGAATGAATAGCTAAGCTGTAAAAAGAATTTCTTTTTACACGGCTGTAGTCTTTCAATCGAAAAGCTGCAGAAAAAGCATCTTGGAGGCGACGGAAAGTCTGTTGACTTTTTTATTACAAAGTGGGCCAATATTCAAACGAAAGTCAACAGAAAAGCTAGAGAAATTCAGATGAAAAGCTATTGACATTTTATATCTTCTGGTGACTTTTTTCAACAACATTTAAACAGAAAAACAAAACAGTTTTTAAGGGTTTCTAGCGGCTTCGTTTTCTCGTTTGAAAAAATTAATGATAAAAACGACAATGCAACCGAAATTTTTTGCACGTTTAAACTGGGAGACGGAAATACAGTCTGCTTTCGCTGCCGCTGAAACTCAATCAACTCATCAACATTTATTAAACAACTCGCGCGACGTGCTCGAAATACGAAACCGAAAGTCAGGCACGTAGCCAGGATTTTGTTTCGGGGGGGGGGGGGGGGGGGGGGGGGGGGCGGAAGCGGGGGGGGGGGGGGGGGGGGGGGGCCCAATGAGCCCCCCCCCCCCCACCCCCCCCCCCCCCTGGCTACGTGCCTGCCGAAAGAAGATAAGGCGGAAGGGCGGTAACTTTCTGGCCGTCTTCCGGAAAAGGGAGAAAAACGTTTCGTTCCTCCCCTCTTCTTGTGTCCGCTCGGGAGCACGCCGGTAGAAGGGAGGAAAACGCACCCATTGCTACTTTCTTCGTTTATTTCTTCTTAGAGTGTGGGTTTCCGTCTACCAGCCTGGACCTGACGAAGCGGCAGCTGTGAATTCGGGCGATCCGGTGAAACAATGTGGACGGCTCTTAAAGGCTGCCTTTAAAGCACTTCCGTGAGTGCAGTTGCCACTTCAAGAAAGGTTCATGCTTTTGTTCCTTTATTTGTTATTGGTGTGGAGATACAAGTCAGCAGATTGATTGTGTATGCTGTCGTGTCGCTTATGTGCCTCACAAAGCGAAGGCCTCGGAGTTCGCGTTTGTTTGATGGCGCGTCCCTTACAAAAATTTTTAATGAATTTCATTTGACAGTTTATGGAGCCTACTCATTACATCTTTTCGAGTCTCAATAGAAATGCAAACGAGTTTTGTAACGAGTCCGTAAGGAGTTTACGAAAACTATTGGCCACCGCGTTCCAATTGATGTTTCGACAAAGCTACCGCATAAAGTTTCCAATGCATTTCATATGAATATAATTTGAAAGTCTATTGACACCGTTTTGAGTCTGTGTTGAAAAACAATTGATTTTTTGTAACGAGTCCCTAAGGAGTTTACGAAAACTATTGGCCACCGCGTTTCAATTACGGTTTTGCCGTGCCACCTCATAAGAATTTCTAATAGATCTCATTTGAAAGTCTAGATACACTGCTTTGAGTCTCTGTTGAAAATCAAATGTTTTTTTCTACCACGTTGTGCTTGAGGTTTTGACGTGCCATCTCATTAGGTATATTGCCGCGCGCAGGGCTGAGAAAGCAACGCTCGGTCACGGACCCCCAGAAAGTTCTCGTCTATTCATGTACCGCACGTAACTTCTATCATTTATTCCTGCTTTTGTTTTTTTCGCCGAATCTTCGAGATGGTGACACACTCTAGATAAGGGGCCGCCCGCTACCTTGTCGAGTCAGTTTCGCTTCAGCGTTCGACTCTGCTGCCACGCCGACTTCGACGCCCGCGACGATCTATTATTATCTTTTGTACTCTTTTATTTTTGGCACAAGTTCGCCACATTAAACGTTTATTTCTTCCTGTTTATTTGTTATTTTTGGTCACCACCCGTGACAATATTCCGACGAGTCGGAATATACCAAATGAGATGGCCCATCAGAACCTGAATTGCAACGCTGTAGAAAATAACATTTGATTTTCAACAGAGACTCCAAGCAGTGTATCTAGACTTTCAAATGAAATGTATTAGAAATTATACTCCTAGTATGGGTTTCTAGATAGACGGCTCTAAGGGGGAAGACGGCAATAGGTTGCATAACATGTGGTCCGGATCTAACCGTTGTTTTGAGGGAAGGGGAAAGTGAGTGCAAGTGTTTTACTTATATGTATGCCTATATACGCATGCAAGGTTTGGAAAATGCCTGCATAAAACCGTGGAAAGGAGTAACAACTGGTGTATTAAAAATGCAAAATTTGAGTATACGGTACACTGCCTTCGTGTTCATGGGGGACCTTGTACTGCCTTCGTGTCCATGGGAGACCTTGTACTGCCTTCGTGTCCATGGGAGACCTTGTACTGCCTTCGTGTCCATGGGAGACCTTGTACTGCCTTCATGTCCATGGGAGACCTTGTACTGGTAACCTATAAAGAAAAAAGATGCACAGTTAAACATTGACCTGCTTATCTAAACTTCAATGTC